CCACTTCCCCCATGGACAATAGAAGAAAAAAAAGAACAAGAGCTATTAGAAAAAGGAGAAAAACCTAGATGTATGTTATATATATATATATGCATGTGCGTGTCTGTGAAGTGTGACCAAAGTGTAAGTAGGAGTAGCAAGATATCCCTGTTATCTTAGCGTGTTTATGAGACAGAAAAAGAAACCAGCAATCCTACCATCATGCAAAACAGTTACAGGTTTTTGTTTTTATATATATATATATATATATATATATATATATATATATATATATATATATATATATATATATATATATATATAATATATATTATATATATATATATAAAATAATTCTCCCTCCTCTCTCTCTCCTCTTCTCTCTTCTCTCTGTCTCTCTGTCTCTCTCTCTCTCTCTCTCTCTCTCTCTCTCTCTCTTCTCTCTCTCTCTCTCTCTCTCTCTCTCTCTCTCTCTTCTCTCTCTCTCTCTCTCTCTCTCTCTCTCTCTCTTCTCTCTCTCTCTCTCTCTCTCTCTCTCTCTCTTCTCTCTCTCTCTCTCTCTCTCTCTTTCTCTCTCTTTCTCCTCTTCTCTCTCTTTCTCTCTCTCTTCTTCTCTCTCTTTCTCTCTCTTTCTCTCTCTTCTCTCTCTCTCTCTCTCTTTCTCTTCTCTCTCTCTCTCTCTTCTCTCTTTTCTCTTCTCTCTCTCTCTCTCTCTCTCTCTCTCTTCTTTCTCTTTCTCTCTCTCTCTCTCTCTCTCTTTTTCTCTTTCTCTCTCTCTTTCTCTTTCTCTCTCTCTCTCTCTCTCTCTCTCTCTCTCTCTCTTTCTCTCTCTTTCTGTCGCTCTTTCTCGCTCTCTCTCTTTCTCTCTGAGACCAGCTATGCATGCATTCCCTCAAATATATAAGAAGTAAGTTATTGAGCTATTTCTTGGATGAATGGATTTAATTCATTTTCACAATGGCTGTTGCAATATTGAAGGTCCTAACCTTTGACATATCTCAAATATTTTATGATTGGGGGGGGTAAAAGGCAGATATTTTGCTCAATGTCAAAAACTTATTAAATTTATTTTTTTTCAGGGGGCAGGGATGAAGATAAGATAAATTATAGTATAGCTGGTCCCCATAATATTGGATTAGCATTGTTTTATGAGTAGGGAGTGTATTTTTGGCGGTCTGAAATGGATTAATCTAACATACATTATTCCTTATGGGAAAAATTTGTTCAGATCTCGAACAGCTTTCTGGAACTAATCAAGTTCAAGTACAGAGGTACTACTGCACTATATTACTAGAGTGGAATTTACATTAATTAATATGCTAATATTTCTGAACTTCAGATGAAACCACTTCATTCTTGACACCTGACCCTGAACGCAAGAGTCATTCCCATTCATCCAGAACATCTCGAGCAGCATCCACATCCGTATTACTCATTGATGGTTCAAATGATGAAGAAGAATTGTTTTTAGAGGTTGGAATGGATACTGCAAATGAGGCAGATGATGAAGGTATTTTTTGAGACAGTTGTTTTATGCTACACTTCAGGTGTCTGAATGACATGGAGGTTATGCACCTACCATCCGACTTACGACCGAGCTTGGTTCTGACTAATCGGTCATAAGTCAAAATGAACGTGAGTTGAACCTTACTAATGAATATCAACATCACATTAAGTAATGATTTTATTTTATTGTTTTATTTTGGTATTTCATTTTTTACTTTACTTTTTATTCTGTTAGTACTGTATTTTATACTGTAAGGTTTAGGAGAAACACTGTGTAAAACACAGTTGTTTATTTCCCAGAACATTTGCATACAAAACATGGTCATATGTCGAGCAGGTTGTAAGTTCGATGGTAGGTGTATATTTTTAATTTTCCTTATTTGATGGTATATTTTTTATATGCTGTAGTTTTCTGAGTGCTTTGTATTTGCTTGCACCATATTTTATATTCATTATTCTTCTCAGCTTGATAATTTGTTTGGTCCCTTTTTATATTATATTTTTGTTTTTCTTCTTTACACTTCTTTTCATCTCTTCCTGTCTATATCGGTATATGGAACAGTACTGTAATTTTCTTTGCCAGTTTTTTATTTGAATTTTTTCAATCGTTAATTTTGGTCAGCAAATTGCTGTGAGGTACAGGAGAGCCCAGACCTACCATTGAACTTAATTGAGGTTGACAAGGGGAAAAGTAAAAGGCAAAAGAGTAGCCGCTCAGTAGTTCACAGAGGAAGGAGGAAGACGGTACTACCCAGACGTTCCTTGCACACACTCAAGATCCATACAGAAACATCTAAGGACCAAGGTGGGCATTTTTTGTTACTCTGTTCTGCATATTATGAAATCTATATAATTTTTGGTTTTTGTATTTAGCAACCTCATGCCGGCAAAAACCTCTGTTTACTGCAAACCCACAGATTCAGTGTTTGACATTTTTTAATCCATTTTAACCCAGTTAACCCTTTGAGGGTTCAAGCCGTACTTCTACGCCTTGTCCACAGGGTCCAAGAATTTAAAAAAAAAAAAATTATTAAATGGTAGAGAATCTTTTTCTGAAGGTAATAAAACAAAAAGTACGAAATTTTATGGAAAATTTACGAAATTACACTATCTCAAAATTTACCGCATCAGTGATATTTACGCATTGGCAATTTTGCCTAGTTTGACTCCTATTTTAGGCCAATTACTTTATACCAGTCAACCAAATTCTTAGATATTTCACTAGTATTACTTCTGTTTTATCAATTGAGAACAAGAAACTGCCCAATTAACTTTTTCAGCTACCCAGTAAAGTGATCAGAAATTGGTAATTTGGTGAAATTCACACAAAGTTCAAACTATTCTAATTTCAAAATAGGGTCCAGAATAAACAATGCAGGCATTATTGGCACTAAAATAACATTTCCTATTTTTATTAGTTGTTTCCAGGCTTTACAGATGAATTCCATTTTGATTTTTATTCACACCAAAAAATAAAAAATTTACTCTTGTGCAATATTGTAATAATTATATAAATAATATCAGCGCATTCGTGAATGTATATTAGACCCACAATTTGATGTGTATTGGACCTCATTTGTTTACTCTTGAACATCAGCAGAAAGCAAACATTTCTGCTACTTTGAGCTCAATTTCAAGCTATTTTCAATACTAAAACCAATCAAAATCATCTCTGTTTCTGTAATATATCTTCTATCAAATGAAACCACGAAACCATGAATACAACGATAGAAATCGTATGGAAATACACCACAAAGTCGCTGTTTTAATCCAGAAAATATTCGCTTTTTTTTTTTCATGCACTGCGTGCTGCAGGATTTGTTTTATATGGTACACACTTACCACATAGATACATTCTCATATCTAGGCCCAAATTTAATGCTCACAGCTTATTGGTGTGTGCTGAGCTCATGGCATAGAACTACGGCTTGGACCCTGTGGATAAGGTGTAGAACTACGGCTTGGACCCTCAATGGGTTTAGTGAAGCAATCTCAGAAATGTATTTCTGTGTACTCTGAGTTTGCTGCCCACAATAACTAAAATGAATGACATCATCATCATTCTCACTATTCAAAAGACTTGGTTGCCCAAAATGGCTTTTACACAACGCCATTTTGGGCTTTGTGTAAAGAGCTAATATAATAATAGTTACTAAAGAGCCTATAAGAAAAACATAAGCAAAAAATGAAAACATATACATATACTAAATTGTTATTTCCTAAACAAAAAAAAAAATGAGTAAATACAAGGTATACATCATATCTATGCTCTGCAAAATTGTACATTGTCTGTATAAAATTTCTAGGACAAAGTAGAAATTTAATCATGAGTCACTGAACATAAGAATTCTTTTAGATGCATATAACAGCTCATCATTTTTCTGGCATGTTAAGAATTGTAACTGTAATGTTATCTGTGAAGCTGCTTTAATTATACATTATGAAAATACATTCATAAGCACACACTCATGGAGTCAACTATGCATTATGACCTAGTTTCACCATGCCATAAGCCAGTAGAATCTTAAAGCAATAAAGACAAGGTAACCAAGATGAAGCAGGCAAGCAAGGAGTTGGTGGACTGTAATAAGACATTTGACACTTTCTCACAGGTGGCTAGTTCACAAGCTGTAAGAGCAGGTATGGATAGCTGCAAATGCACCTTACTGAGTGTCCATGTTCTAATGAGAAATGGCTAAATGTTTAGATACTGTATGAAAACTGTCCCTCATACTTGCATAAAGGTGTTGTTACTGTCATCATGCATTCCTCTTTTGGAATCCACTGATAGTTGTTTTTTCTAAGCTCCAACACTCCAACTACAGGTTTTCTCAATCTATAATTCTTCTTTCAGAGTCCCAACTGCATATCCATTACCAAACACAGTTGTCCCTTGTTTGATGGACTAGATGTGATTCAGGCCCATTGCAGATGTATGGAATGATTCATCTAGCATAATGCAAACCCTTAACCCTTTCACTGTCTTTCACGTAAATTTGCGTTAGTGGGATTGTTGCCAGACATATATTTACGTCTTACTCAGAGCACCCTTAGATATACTGTGAGCAGTAAATTTTGGTGTAAACTTAGAGAATGGGTAGAATTACTGACAAAATATTAGACTAGGTAGGTAGGTTGGTAGACAGCAACTGCCCTGGGAGGTACTGCCATCCTGCCAAGTGAGTGTAAAACAGAAGTCTGTAGTTGTTTTACATAATAGTGGGATTGCTGGTGTCTTTTCTCTGTTTCATAAACATGCAAAACTTCAAGTATGTCTTGCTACTTCTGCTTACACTTAGGTCACACTACACTTGCATGTACAAGCATACATACATACATACATTTTTTTTTTCAACAAGTCTGCCATCTCCCACTTAGGCAAGGTGACCCAAAAATAAAGAAAATCCCCCAAAACGAAAATACTTTAATCATTCAACACTTTCACCTCACTCATACATAATCACTTTGCAGAGATGCCCAGATACAACAGTTTAGAAGCATATATAAAGATAAAATATAAAAAGTGACCTGAAATAATATAATAAACTCTCTATAGAATATAATATCAGGGCCCCAGTTATATATATAACATCCTACTACACATCCCTCCAAACTGCCAATATCCCAAACCCCTCCTTTAAAGTGCAGGCATTGTACTTCCCATTTCCAATACTCAAGTCGGGCTATATAAAAATAACTGGTTTCCTTGAATCCCTTCACTAAATGTTACCCTGCTCACACTCCAACAGCTCATCAGGTCCCAAAAACCATTTGTCTCCATTCACTCCTATCTAACACGCTCATGCACGCTTGCTGGAAGTCTAAGCCCCTTGCCCACAAAACCTCCTTTACCCCCTCCCTCCTACCTTTTTGAGGATGACCCCTACCCCGCCATCCTTCCCCTACAGATTTATATGCTCTCCAAGTCATTCTACTGTGTTCCATTTTCTCTAAATGACCAAACCACCTCAACAACCCCTCTTCGGCCCTCTGACTAATTTCCACACTACAAATTCTCTGTATAATATTTACACCAAACATTGCCCTTAGACAGGACATCTCCACTGCCTCCATTCACCTCCTTGCTGCAGCATTAACAACCCATGCTTCACACCCATATCTCCTAACGGGAGGTTCCTTGATGCTGGTGAGGGGCTCTTGATCTAGTGAATTGGATCTGTGCTCCAGTTCCCTGAATTGAGCCTGAATACCTGCCATCTCCTCCCCCCCCACACATGCACTGTATATTCCTATGGGTTTAGCGCTCCCCCATGATTATAAAAATTCATACTCGAAAAACAGTGTTGGTACCACTGTACTCTTGTACATTCCCTTCTTTGCCTCCATGGATAACTTTTTTTTTTTTTTTTTTTTTTTTTTTTTTTTTTTTTTTTTTTTTTGTCTCTACAGATACCTCAGTGCACCACTCATCTTTTTTCCTTTATCATTTCTGTGGTTAACCTCATCCTTCATAAACCCCTCTGCTGACAAGTCAAGTCCCAAATATCTGAAAACATTCACGTCTTCCAAACTCACTCCCTCCATTGTGATATCCATTTTTTTTTTATCTAAATCGTTTGATACCCCTCATCACCTTACTCTTATCTCTCTTCACTTTCAACTTTCTACCTTTACACATCCATATGTTAACAAAAAAAAAATTCTTTAAACCTGAAGTGTTGAACTTGCTTGTCATAATTTGTGAATTTGATCATTAATATATTATGTTGCAGTCATTGTTTGAAAAGAAGAGAGGGCCATCAACAAAAGCTTCAGTTGAGGTGTTCGGAAGCACTGGGTAGGTCGTTCTTGAATAGGATGAGATTACCAGACATATTGCCCTGAGAAACACCAGTGTTTCTTGGAAGGGTAGGAGAAATAGTCAATTGTAGTTAAGTATTGGTGTTTGCTGAGGCTAGCTTGGATAAACTTACAGGCATATCCTCTTCTGTCTCTGGTTTTGGACTTCTGTATTGTCCAAGTATTTATTATAAATGAATAAATATTCAGTAGAGTATTTTGGGGGGTTACTAATATTTGCAGGAATCCATGTACGTGTAAAACAATCATTGGGTCTGTATTAAAATAGTTTTTAATTTTGCAGAAGATAGCTCGGAACTAGAAACCACTTCCACCAAGAAACCAAGATCTACTCTCAGATCATCTGACACATCGATATTAGGCTTGGAGTTGGATATAAAAGAGAAAGTGGAGGACAGACCTGGGTGTCAGGTAACAGAAGATGATGGTAAAGAAAATGGAATAACTAAGGAAAAGGAAGGAGAAAAGGTTACTCTAAAAGATCAAGAAATGCCAAAGGCTCATGAAGAAAACAGAGAGAAGGAAGTGGCAGTTATAGAAACAATAGCAGAACTAGAGGAAAAACAGAAAGATGAAACAGTGAAGGAACCTACTGCACTTCAGTTTGAGTTTTCTAAGCCTAAATCTGTTGCTAGTTCAAGAAAAGTTCGAGGTATGTATACAGACATATTAGTGGAAGAACTTTTTGAATGTAATTCATACTGCTGTTCATACTTTGCTTGACAGTATGTTCCTCACTCATGTTTATGGTAAAGTTTTACTTACTTTGTTATTTAGTGAATAAAATTGAATGTGAATATTTTTAATGCTGTATTCTCTTGGAGAATTCGTACACAGGCACTTGGGGAATACACATGTTTCCTTGTATATGTTGAGTTTCTAGTTGATATGTTGAGAATACTCTCATTTGCTTCAGGTTTAATACATCTGGGCTTTAAGCTTGTACAATATTTTTGCAATGAAGAGTCATAAACACTAATGGATACAAAGTGAGAAACAACTAGGACAAATACAGTTATGAACACAGGTAAAAGTGATCAACTCCTGAAAAGGTTTTCCAAGGCCATAATGTAAATTTCTCTCTTCCTATTGTTACTAATACCATAACAGAGCTATAATTTGTTGTCCCACCTTCATTAATATCTTCTTCATATGAAGGATGAGGTTAATCATAGAATTGATGAGGGGAAAAAAGGCGAGTGGTGCATTGAGATATATGTGGAGTCAAAAAACGTTATCTATGGAGGCAAAGAAGGGAATGTATGAAAGTATAGTAGTACCAACACTCTTATATGGGTGTGAAGCTTGGGTGGTAAATGCAGCAGCGAGGAGACGGTTGGAGGCAGTGGAGATGTCCTGTCTAAGGGAAATGTGTGGTGTAAATATTATGCAGAAAATTCAGAGTGTGGAAATTAGGAAAAGGTGTGGAGTTAATAAAAGTATTAGTCAGAGGGCAGAAGAGGGGTTGTTGAGGTGGTTTGATCATTTAGAGAGAATGAATCAAAGTAGAATGACATGGAAAGCATATAAATCTATAGGGGAAGGAAGGCGTGGTAGGGGTCGTCCTCGAAAGGGTTGGAGAGAGGGGGTAAAGGAGGTTTAGTGGGCAAGGGGCTTGGACTTCCAGCAAGCGTGCATGAGCGTGTTAGATAGGAGTGAATGGAGACGAATGGTACTTGGGACCTGACGATCTGTTGGAGTGTGAGCAGGGTAATATTTAGTGAAGGGATTCAGTGAAACATATAAGTGAACAGTATTTAGATAAGGCTAAAGAGGTCTTTGTGGCATTTATGGATTTGGAAAAGGCGTATGACAGGGTGGATAGGGGGGCAATGTGGCAGATGTTGCAAGTGTATGGTGTAGGAGGTAGGTTACTGAAAGCAGTGAAGAGTTTTTACGAGGATAGTGAGGCTCAAGTTAGAGTATGTAGGAAAGAGGGAAATTATTTCCCAGTAAAAGTAGGCCTTAGACAAGGATGTGTGATGTCACCGTGGTTGTTTAATATATTTATAGATGGGGTTGTAAGAGAAGTAAATGCGAGGGTCTTGGCAAGAGGCGTGGAGTTAAAAGATAAAGAATCACACACAAAGTGGGAGTTGTCACAGCTGCTCTTTACTGATGACACTGTGCTCTTGGGAGATTCTGAAGAGAAGTTGCAGAGATTGGTGGATGAATTTGGTAGGGTGTGCAAAAGAAGAAAATTAAAGGTGAATACAGGAAAGAGTAAGGTAATGAGGATAACAAAAAGATTAGGTGATGAAAGATTGAATATCAGATTGGAGGGAGAGAGTATGGAGGAGGTGAATGTATTCAGATATTTGGGAGTGGACGTGTCAGCGGATGGGTCTATGAAAGATGAGGTGAATCATAGAATTGAGGAGGGGAAAAGAATGAGTGGTGCACTTAGGAGTCTGTGGAGACAAAGAACTTTGTCCTTGGAAGCAAAGAGGGGAATGTATGAGAGTATAGTTTTACCAACGCTCTTATATGGGTGTGAAGCATGGGTGATGAATGTTGCAGCGAGGAGAAGGCTGGAGGCAGTGGAGATGTCATGTCTGAGGGCAATGTGTGGTGTGAATATAATGCAGAGAATTCGTAGTTTGGAAGTTAGGAGGAGGTGCGGGATTACCAAAACTGTTGTCCAGAGGGCTGAGGAAGGGTTGTTGAGGTGGTTCGGACATGTAGAGAGAATGGAGCGAAACAGAATGACTTCAAGAGTGTATCAGTCTGTAGTGGAAGGAAGGCGGGGTAGGGGTCGGCCTAGGAAAGGTTGGAGAGAGGGGGTAAAGGAGGTTTTGTGTGCGAGGGGCTTGGACTTCCAGCAGGCATGCGTGAGCGTGTTTGATAGGAGTGAATGGAGACAAATGGTTTTTAATACTTGACGTGCTGTTGGAGTGTGAGCAAAGTAACATTTATGAAGGGGGTTCAGGGAAACCGGCAGGCCGGACTTGAGTCCTGGAGATGGGAAGTACAGTGCCTGCACTCTGAAGGAGGGGTGTTAATGTTGCAGTTTAAAAACTGTAGTGTAAAGCACCCTTCTGGCAAGACAGTGATGGAGTGAATGATGGTGAAAGTTTTTCTTTTTCGGGCCACCCTGCCTTGGTGGGAATCGGCCAGTGTGATAATAATAAAAAAAAAAAAAAATTCAGGGAAACCGGTTTTTTTCATATAGTCGGACTTGAGTCCTGGAAATGGGAAGTACAATGCCTGCACTTTAAAGGAAGGGTTTGGGATATTGGCAGTTTGGAGGGATATGTTGTGTATCTTTATACGCATATGCTTCTAAACTGTTGTATTCTGAGCACCTCTGCAAAAACAGTGATTATGTGTGAGTGTGGTGAAAGTGTTGAATGATGATGAAAGCATTTTCTTTTTGGGGATTTTCTTTCTTTTTTTTGGGTCACCCTGCCTCACTGTTAGACGGCTGACTTGTTGAAAAAAAAAAAATAATTGTAAAATTTCCTGTGGTTGCTGTACACTGCCACCTTTTTAATTTATTGCTTGCTTCTGTTTTTACAAAAAAATTCCCGGTATCCCTTCAGCTGCACTTTTTTCTCAATTTATGTCTGTATCCTCTTGTTCCTGTTGAAAATACTGAAGAGACTTCTATATCTATTCTTTTATTTCCATATAACCTTGTATATTGCTATCAAATCTCTTCTTTTCTGTCTGTCATCCAGCATTGGCAATTTAAGTGGTTTTTGCCTTGATCTTAACTCGCATTTTGTAATTCTTCCTTGAACTTATTGTATCCAATCGATGTTTCTTGAGGTGTAAGCCATGTGTGTCGTAAGAAGCTACTAAGATAACAGGAGCAAGGGGCTAATAACCCCTTCTGTATACATTACTAAAGTTAAAAAGAGAAACTTTTGTTTTTCTTTTTGAGCCACCCTGCCTTGGTAGGATATGGCTAGTTTGTTAGAAAAAAAAAAGTGCAGGATACCAGGTATATCTTGCTGCTTATACTACACACACATGTACATGCATACATGTATATATACCCACCTGGTTTTTCTTCTATTTTCTTAACCCGTAAACAGTCCAAACATATATATACGTTCACTACCCCAGTACCCCGAATATTTTGATTTTTTTTTTTTTTTTTTTTTTTTTTTAATGAAAATAAAGAGCAAATTTTTCTAAGTGTCATAGGATAAAAAAAAATTAGGATCAGTACTTACAGAGATACGAGGCCAAGAATTTGACACTGGATGCTCACGTGACAGCAACATCGAGTCCTACCGCTTGCAGAAGTGTTGCTGATATACCTTTTTTTCTATTTTTATATTTTATATAATTTTTATGTTCTGATAATTACAATTTATAGTAGTTCTTGTCATTTCATAACCAATCTTTGTTCTGACACTAGTATTAAGTACTGAAATTGTACTCAAATTGTCACAAATGCACTGACAGGTGGACATTTACACCTGCCTTGGCCATTTACTATTGTCTTGGAATATATACAAAGTATTTATAGGTCCCAGCAGTGTTTTGGATATGTGGAAGTATATAATAATAATAATAATAATAATAATAATACGTAATAATAAGTTCCCTTGAAGCATGAAAAACAAGCCTCAGTCCACCCCTGACAGTGACTGATAAGATGAGATAACATTAGATAAGAACTGGCATTTGATGAGCATACGCGAGGGTGCGGTGATAAGACTTGATAAGAAAGATTAGAGGTGACATTTGATGAGCATCGGCCCTCGCTTTGTTTTTGCTGGTACACAAACATGTCTGTCTATCCATCTAGCTCTCTGCCTCAGAGAGAGCCACAAGACTGCATCATGACATTTACTCATATCTTCAAGCAGAGTATAGCACTTTGTCTGGATTTTTTGGGTTATTCTAGGTAATTTACACTATGTATACTTGTATTTATGTGTACCTGTCAGACAGAGACAGATACACAGACAAACAAACGGAGCCAAGCCGCCAGCAGCCAGCCAGCTGGCCAGCCACAGCTAGCCTGCTGAACAAGTATTACATTCCAGAATTGTTTCTCTTTACTTAGGGCATAGGTTATAAGACATTCTGAAAGGGTGTTGCACATGGGTTATTATCGAGTTTTTTTTTATATTTCCTCGACCACTTATGGCCACATCCACCTCAAAGCCACTAAACTCGGGGTCAACATCCCTTTCCTCTTAAAATGGGAGAGTTAATACTACATGAAATCAGTGAATCCTAGGTGTTTGCCGTGCTGTTTGCTCTAGCTGACGCTCATTTGAACTGGTGCTCCCACAAGGTACTAAGTGGTCCCAGATTTTTTTAATACAGTGCACACTGAGTGTTATGACCCATTCTATACTGACAAGGCATCTCAGGCCAGTCGTGCCATATTTGAAGGCAGGAAAAATAAAACATCTATATATGTTTGGGGCACTAGCGGTAAGAATGTACATACGTGTATATGTTTGGACCATGTACGGGTTAAGAGTTCTTGTTGTTCTTTACTTCCTCTCATCTCCATGGGGAAGTGAAAAAGAATTCTTCCTTCATAAGCCATGCGTGTCGTAAGAGGCAACTAAAATGTTGGGAGTAAGGAGCTAATAGCCCCTTCTGTATAAATTACTAAATGTAAAAAGAAAAACTTTTGTTTTTCTTTTTAGGCCATGCTGCCTCAGTGGAATACAGCCAGTGTGTTAAAAAAAATTATGTTGTGAACAGCTTTTTCACCTACTCTCCATTCATATATCTTTAAGCTATTTTATAGTTAGCCAGTGTAGCACATGCATTTCCCACAATTTCAATTATATGATCTGATGAAAAAAAATTGAATAATTATAATTTTTCGTGGATTGATTTTACTTTCTTCCATTTCCATTACTTGGCATATATAGATGTTTATTTTATTGCATGGCATTTCTCGCTTTACCTCATACAATATGTTGTGTACTATTGAAAAGAATTGTAAAGTTAAGAGTGGTATGAAAAACTGCCATATAGTGAAAGGTTTTTTGTAGGAAATTCATAGTACTAATTTAAGAATTTAAAGTCACTCTGCTAAAATATGGACTTAGGAATGGTTAATAGTTGACCTAAAAAAAAAAACAATTGCTTACAAATTGTGTAGCTATTTTTATATATGAAATAAAATATTAAACAAAGACTAATGCAAAGGTTGATGAACAAATTTGGAAGGGCATGTAAAAGATGGAAATTAAAAGCAAATATAGAAAAGAGCAAGACAATGAGGATAAAACTCTAGGCCACAAAAGGTTATCATTCTGGAGGGAGGTGGTATATGAAAGAAGTGGATGTATTTAGAAATTGTATATGTGAGTGAACATGTCAGGAGATGGGGTCTGAAAGATGAGATGAACTAGAGAATAGATGAGGGGGATGGGGGGGGGAAAGATGGGTGGTGTTGCAGCATCTATGGAAAGAAAATTTTATCTGTTGAGGCAAAAATGGAAATGTGCTACAGTATAATGAGACCAACATTTTTGTATGGGTGTGAAGCATGGGTCTTAAATGCTGCAGGCAAAAGTAAATGAAGACAGTGGAGATGTCATATTTGAGAACAGTGTGTGGTGTGAATATCATGCAGAAAATTCAGTGGGGCAATGTATGGTCACCATGGATATAATTCAGAAGGCTGAAGAGAAGTTGTTGAGGTGGTTAGGGGATGGAGAGAGAGAGAGAGAGAGGGCATGATGAAGAGGGTGCACATTTAGAGTAAAAGATAGGAGAGGTAGGGGTCATCCCAAGAATAGTTGGAAGGACTGGGTAACAGAGACTTAATTATCCACAGGTTTGTGTGAGGTTGTTAGGAGTGAATGAAGATAAGTGTTTTTTAATGGACATTGATTGAATTGTGGTGAATGTGTTTTCTTTGGGTCACCTTGCCTTGACAGGAAGTGACCATTGAGAGAAAATGTAATTGAAATAATTGTTAATGTATATACCTATAAAGACAAAGAACATTATCCATGGAGTCACCAAGGAGAATGTTATGAGAGAGTAGTGGTACCAACACACTTATATAGGTGTGAAGCGTGGGCTGTGAATGTTGCAGCCAGGAGGAGGTTGGAGGCAATATGATGTAAATATTGTGCAGAGAATTTATAGCTTGGAGATTAGGTGTGGAGTTACTAAAAGTATTATCAAGAGGGCTGAGGAGGAGTTGAGATGGTTTGAATATTTGGAGAGAATGAGCAAAATAGGATGATTTGGAGGGTGTTTAAATCTGTAGTGAAGGGAAGGCGGGGAAGGGGTCACCCTAGGAAAGGTTGGCGGCAGGGGATAAAGTAGGTTTTGTGTTCAAGGGGCTTGGGTATCCAGCAGGTGTTGGATAGGATGGAGTGGAGGCAGATGTTTTTTGTGACTTGACAATTGGTTGGAGTGTGAGCAAGATAACATTTTGTGAAGGGATTTAGGGAAACTGGTTAGCTTGAGTCCTGGAGGAGGGAAGTACAGTGCCTGCACTCTTGAGGTAGGAGTGGGAATACTGTATTTGCAGTTTGGAGAGGCATCTGAACTGTAGTATCTGTGCACCTCTGGCAGGACAGTGATAGTGAATGATGGTGAAAGTGCTTTTTGGGGGGTCACCCTACCTTAATGGGAGATGGGCAGTATTAAAAAAAAGTAATGCTCGTTTAATTGTATTTAAGGGAATTTGATCAATAAAATGTTGCCTATATAAATTTCAAAATACACTCTGCTTTCAGCTTTGGAGTACCTTACCAGTGAAGCTGTAGAGTTCCTGTTTTCTCCCCCTCAGACTGCTGGAAGAATTGTCAAGTAGGTAAAGTACATATCTTGTGAAATGTCACATGTGATAAACATAATGGGTAACAGTGGATTTTTTTTTTTTTTTTTTTTTTTTTTTTTTTTTTTTTTTTTTTTTTTTTTTTTTTTTGATACTGCTAATGCTGTCCCTCTCTTGTCATAGAAGTGGTACCCAGTGTAAAAAAAATTACTTTGCTGGTACTATATTTATATGGGATATAGTGCTAGTTATAAAATGTGCCTTTGCATACCAACTTTCATTCCATTGTAAATTATAGCTGTGGATATTGTGTAGTTTTCTAAAAAAAAAAATTGTGTTTTTCACAGTACTCTAGAATTTTTAAAATACTTCATCTGCATAACCCCTAAACACTTATTTAGGCATGTAACATTCACAGTGATTTTTAGGTTTTGATGTGCTCTTGGATTATGTAACAACCTTTATGAAGTGATGTAGGGAAATTCATTAATCAAACTCTAGTTCTGGAGGTGGAAAATAGTGCTTGCACTGTATGGTTTTGCTACCCATTTTTTTCTCTTGTTCCAAGTAAAATTTACCACAAATTCTATTGTTTGTTTCATGGGCCAAGTTGGATGTAGCTGAGTCAGTTACTTGATATACTGATACTCGCCATAAAACTGTGAAGTTGATTATGCTTCCTAAAACTTTCACTATCTAGCACCAAACTTTCAAAGATAAATAAGTGCACTTGATCAAAATATTAATAAAAGATGTGAGGGCAGTATCAGTTGGTTCCTTCTCTGAAAATCATCATATAAGCAACATTTCCTCAACAGATTATTCCCCCCCCCCCCCAAAAAAAAAAAGGGGGGGGGAACTTGCCATACCTACTCCAAACAAACGTACAAAAAAGATAAATGTACAGGAGGGCCCCACTTATACGGCAGGTTAGGTTCCAGGCTACCGCCGTAAAGCGGAAATCGCCGTAAAGTGGAACACCCTTTTTTTCCACTTATAAATGCATACAAACACTAGATAACAAGTTTACACTAACATATATTAAGTTAGCAATAGAACCAGGCATCAAAAAACAATAAAAAGGTACAATACACACATAGTGCACTCATTACTTACCTTAAAATATTTATAGTCTTAATCTAGGGTGAGACAAGTAGTATTTATTGTAAGAAATCAAGTGTGGTATGTATTGTAATAGCCAGGCTACCTCACCAGGCCACCCCACCCACACATACTATTCTATGATATTTAAGCATCCCAGAGCGATAAAATGTATATACAGTTCACTCATTACTTACCTTAAAATATTTGTAGTCTTAATGTAGGGTCAGGAGTAAGTAAATGAGATAAAACGAATAAATGAGAGAGAGAAAGAATGAGTACATGAGAGGTAACAGGCGCAGAGTTATGTAAACAAACCAGGCTCCCACATCTTATATTTATGTTTATTTATTCTATTGTGGGGTGTATTTATCATCTTTTTATGTTATGTATCGTGTTTATTATATAATTTTGAAAAAAATATCATGGCTGGATTAATGAAAATGTGTATATTACCGCAATATACGACATTTAATGAGACTCGGTGAGTATTGTTATTATGGCGTCACTTGTGGAAGTCGTCTGCTCACATCTCACATTTGTTTATTTATTCTACTGTGGGGTGTATTTATCTTATTTATATGTTATGCATCGTGTTTATTATATAATTTTGAAAAAAATATCATGGATGGATTAATGAAAATGTGTATATTAACGTAATATACGACATTTAAATGACTCGATGTATGTAAGTTTATTTAGGTACAGGTATACATAAGTATAATTATCAGAGTATATATAAAATATGAAATAACTTTTAAAAACATTTGAAATTTTGGAGTTTCCAGACAAAATGGAGAGACTTAGTGCTTACTGAGCTCATGGAGAATGTAAACAAACAGGGTGGGGCACGGTGACCGTATTAGAAAGTCAGGTGGGGGGAGCCGTATAGTGAGTTTTGGTCATAATTTGAAATGTCCGTATTAGCGGAACGCCGTAAAGTGAAACGCCGTAAAGCGGGGCCTTCCTGTATATGATAGTCAGAGCATAGAAAAATATTGATTAAAATATGTGGGAGGCAGCATCAGCTGGGCTCCTCAGTACATACCCAGTGGTTATTTGCAGACAGTTCCAGGGAACATCACTCTTATGACCCAGTCCTAGACTAGGCCTCCTGGTGGATAGCCTGATAAACTAGGCTGTTGCTACTAGCTGCACATTGTAGCAACTGGACAACGACATGGCAGATATCAGCTAGGAGTTTTACTGGATTCTTGTGCTAATTCTAGTATCATTTCAAAACTTTTCCAAAGGAAACGATACTAGAATCAGAAAGCCAAGTTCCGTACTGCACCTTGAGAAATAGAGATGATCACTATGGGTATTAGTGAAACAAGGAATTTAAGGAGTTAAGCAAAAACTGTAACTTCTATACTTAATATTATAATAATAATATCTTTATGTACTACAAGTACATGTACATGGTATTACAGGCCTAGCTGATATCAGTGACATACTACTATATAGAAAGCCCCTTGTTATGCTGAGCATTTTGGGCAAATTAGGTCAGTGTCCCAGGATGCAACCCACACCAGTCAACTAACACCCAGGTACCCATTTTACTGATGGGTGAACATAGACAACAAGTGTAAAGAAACATGCCCAATGTTTCTACCCTGGCTGGGAATCAAACCCCAGACCCTCACCATGTGAAGTGAGAGCTTTAGCCATCAGGCCACAGAAAGCAAGCATTAGGTTTGTCATCAGTCACTTAGCATGTATACTGTCAAAAATTACAGTAGTTTTTTTTTTTTTTTTTTTTTTTTCAGATATCATGCAAAGATTGAGGAAGGTAAGAAGAACTCTGGTGACTGAAGTATAGATTGAGCCAAGAAATAATCTTCAACAAGAAATCAGAAATAATATGCAGCCTTCACTAAATACTGTTGCTATGTGCAGTATGGTAAACCATGAATGGTGTGTGTGATAATATTTTATCTAATTATTAATAGCATCAGTGTTCCTACAGCTTATTCAATGACATGTGCTACTTAGTGTTTTAAATAACATGAATGAACAGATACCAACATTTCTGATAAACAGTTCTGCTAAGAATATTGTAGCCTTAATGATTTGAAGTGGAAAGGAAATGTTTCATGTAATGGTGTGTTGACCTTGACATCTTAGAAGAAGAAAGCAATGGACTTGTAAGATACATTAGTCTCCTCTTTATTTTTCTAGATTTTTAAGGTAATGGTTTTCTGTTCTGTTGAAAATAAGAATAAAGTAGATTTCCAGATAAATTAAGAGGTATATATTTTGATAAAAAAAATTATTTTAAGATACAGTACTTTTTGATTTGGATAATTATATATATATATATATATATATATATATATATAGAAATTCTTACCTAAAGACAGTTACCAAAAGCTAAGTAAATTGCTGAAGACCTAACAAAAAAGGTATGTGGGGGAGGTAAGGGGTTTTTGTCAAGTAATACACATCATTAGCTTTGTATTGTACAATGAAGTCTTTATTTAAAAACAAAATTGATAACACTGAGGCAATGGTGAATTGTATAGTAAAAGTGCTCTTACTAAAATAAACTGTGGGAAGTGTGTTTGTCCTATATGGTTATCAGAACATACTGCTCTGAAAAGATATTCATTATTCTCACTATATCTAAGTCCTTTATATTTGCCATTGCTGTAATGCAGTATCTTACTAATTTAGTTGTTTTAGGTATTGTGTGCTATTTTGTTCACCTTTTCTATTGATGAGGTTGAACCTAACAAGGCTGTGATAAATATATTAATTGCAACATGCTTTACTATTATTTTGGGATTAATATGTAAATTATACATTTGGTAGAGAAAAGGCAAAGTCCCATTTACCAAGGTTTGGGTGTTGATATATCCTGATGTAATCCTGCAGCTGACTTTTTATATCCAGAAATCCACGTCATTAATTTTACCACGTATAAGTAGAGTAGTATGTAACATGCTTCTCATTTTGAAGAACCTAATATGTGTAAAAATTAATTATTTGTGTGTAAAAATTAATTATTTATAGTTATGGTTAAATGAGTTAGGACTGTATATGCTTAAACCACAGCATGAGAAATTTACAACATATTTATTTGCCTGCTTAAAAAGTAATATTAGACCAGCACATGCAAACTATCAGATATTAAGATTAAGTTATTTATAAAAAAAAATAGTAGCAGTGCTGGTAAAATTTGAAGCTAGAGTTAGTTTTGGTCAATCTTGGAGGGCAATAGGTATATATAAACTTCCTCATTAATGCTCGTTATGAATGGTTTGTTGAAATATTGAATCTTCGGCAAATATTTTTTCAAGTATTGTGTTTTTTATGTAGAATCAAGGAGTTTCGTAGAATTTTTTCGATCAGTGTACTTGGGTCACTGGAATTAGTGATTTTTTTTTTTTTTAGTACATAATGTTACTGTATTAGGAAAACGTAAGATCAGTGTCATTTTGTAATTTTATACTATAAGCTCATTTTTAACTAGGTTTTTCATAAAGTTTGGAAGACTGAATTAAGGCTTTTATAAACGAGACCAGTGGTAGTTTCAGGTGCGCAAGTGTTTTGCGTATCTATTCTGATGTACAGTACTTAAAATGTATCATAATACACTTATTTTGGTATGTAGATTGTTAATTTGTATATCTGACATAGCTTTAAAAAAGAACAAATAACTTCATATTAAGTAATGTTTTACAGCATTTAGTAATTGAAGCACAGTACAGTATAATGTGCCCAGAACCACTGTTTCTTCTGGAAGATGATTGTGCTTTATTCACAAGGTAGCATTGTAGGATATGATGATTTGTATTTGTCTTGACATCTGCCTGTCCAATTCGGGTATACTATAATTATATAAAATATAGTCATACTGAAAGAATATTAATTATTTGGTTAGATAAATTATCAGCTTCATGAAAAGTTAATAGTATTATATAATTAATGTACTATGGTAGTGTAAGCATTCAGAATGAACTGCAACATTTTATTTTGTTAGGATGTGTATGCTTTTAAATATTAAAGATGAGCTTCATTATAACATTTATTTTATTTGTTATAACTGTGGTGAAATTCAAATTTGTGCTTACAGTAATACACGAATACTTGTCACGTAGTATCCAAATTGGTATTGGATTTTTTGTAAAAAAAAAAAAAAAAAACGGAGAATATAGTAAAATTAACTTTCCGGTAAACACTTAAACATAGACAAAGTTCTAAATAAGAATGTTTAATTTTAATCAGGCCTTGTCAAGGAGGAACCCCCTTGGTGTGGCAAAAGGACTTTTGATTCTAGGAATTAGACCCCTCATCTCTTTCCTCAGATTGAATATAAATACCACCACCTCTCACCATTTTGCCTCTAGTTGGGGATATTTCCACCTCTTGAATTTCAGCTCCTAAGCAGAGGAAAAAGGATTTTGTTTTCCATCCTATTCTATTGAGGACTTTGGCAGTAATGCTGCTTGCCTGAGAGATTGGATTATCTGGGTATGTGCTGGGGACCCTGTGGGTGGCCCTGGCATTTCTGACCACCCAGTAGGGTAGGGAGAAAGATGGTTTCCTTGCAGAGAGCACCACTAGTCACATAAGGGTACTCTTGGATCCAGAGGGGGAGATAAATTTTTATTTTTTCTCTGAGCTGCCCCTCTCATCTGCCTGTTTTTCAAGTAAAGAAAAATAAAAATAATTATGAATAGTCATATTTATGCTTTATCTCCTGGGCCTCTTACTCCTGTGGCACCCATACCTGACCCTGGCACTCTCATGTACCTTTGAATCCAGTACCACTTTTGGGCAACACCTCATTGCTTGACTGGCACCAGCATTTTGACTGACCCTTTTCATACCATTGCCCTTAATTCTACTTGAATCATACACCCAGCTTCTCACAATGGAGAGTCTTCTTTTGGATCATTTGCACATCAGAGGATGGCTTGGCTTCGCTTGAAGCCTTGGTCCAAACAACCTCAGTCTGTACTTGAGACAGCTGTATAATCCTCCGGGTTTAGCACTTCCTCCTTGATTATTATAATAATAATAATAATAATAATGTACTTGAGACAACCCTCACACTTCTTTTTTTTTCTCCTAGTGAATATATTACCTGGAAACCTGTTATCCCCTCATAAGACAATCTAGGATGAAATTATTTTCGTTCACACCTACTGATTACCTTACTGACCGTGGCATTAACAGAGCAATCATGAGGCATGTTGGTTGTGCCCTTCTATGCCCTCAAGAGTGGGATGCACATTGTTACTGTGAAGGATACTGAACCAGCTGACAATCTTTCCCTTGTCCATTCTGTTGAAAACATCCTGTCACATTACAGACATTCCTTTCTCAATTCTAGCTGTGATGCTGTCCTCATCCCACATTTTATAGCCCAACAGGAATTTACACAATGTGGCATGGGCATTCAGGAGCAACTTGAGCTTCAGACTCTCCCTTTCATCAAAGTGGAAACTTGTATCCACCCTGCCCAAGGTCAGAGGCATTACCCAAACAACTTTGCCAAATTAACCTTTGACTTCCAGGAGCTTCCAGCTTTGGTTTTTATAGCAGGACAACTACAAGTGCAGGAATTGATCCCGACACCTCAAATCTTTTAGATGACCGGTAGAATGCCCAGTCTGTGGTGCAGCAGATCATAATAATCATCCATCCTGCAGCCAGCCCTCACTTGCCATAATTATGGAGCTAATCCAGCATATTCCCACTGTTGCTCAGTTTTCTTACAAGACGGTGAAATCCGGTCTCAATTCAAAGGTGGGGTTTCTCACGTTCTAAGGCCTTGACTAAACTCTACCTCCAAGGAAGACTTCCCACAGCTCTCCTCCAGAGATGCTTGGTGCCCACAGGTCCCTGGCATACCCTCTCCTACTGTCGTGTCTCTAATCCTTATGAAATCCCTCCTTTAATGTTCCTACCTCTTCATCTTCCATTTTTACCAGTTTGTCCTCATCTATTTTTCATGTTTGTCCACCCACACAGCCTTCTCCAACTGGGTCCTCAACTTTTCATCCCAAACCTCCTTACCAGCCTATTGTTTCTCCACACTTAATCTTTCCTACCTTTGTCTTTTCCTTTGCCACTGCCTTCTGTGTCTGTGATCGTTATGGAAATCCATCCATCCCTACATTGTCACTACTACCCCTTCCCTATCTCTGCCCAGATTCCTTCATCCCAGGACACCACTACCCTCTCTTAGTCTCCTCCCATTTTGGTAGCTGCCATTATCTCTCCACTCTACCCCATCTACCATTTTTCTTGTCACACTTCTTACTGCTTCCTTGTCTTTGAAAGCAACTACTGAGACCACTACATTGACATATCCCCTTACCTTCACACTCTGCAACCGTCTACACATGATACTTCCTTCTGTAGTTACCTGCAAGTCACATATTTCACTTCCACCCAACATCAATTTACATGTCACTCTATCCCATTGGCACCACTTACTTTCTAGTGCCCCTGGCATTTTACATTTGACTTTACTACTGTGTAATATCGGAAGATATTGGGAAAGTTAAGGGGGCTCCATTGCTCACTCAGTTTTTTCCCTGTATGTATTTGTTGACAGACAGGAATTAAAATTACGTTCCACTGTTGAAATTCCTGTTTCTGGCTATGTTTTACAATCCCTCAATTCTTTTCCCAATGAGATGTACAGTGGAAGTGCATTTCTTGTGCTTAAAGTTCATACACCACTTCATTATACTGTGACCCTTGTCTAGGCAAGTGGTACATGGTTTGTTCTTTGTATCTCTTTGCCAATTATATATCCCTGACATTCAATTTCTGATTTCTTTCCTACTTGCTCTGGGGAAGGCCTCACTGTGACTAATGGGGACCAGTTAGAGTTTTTCTCACTTCCTCTGTCTTAAACACTGGTACCCCTACACATTTAGATCCTCATAATCATACTCTTTCCAGTATAGATCTCTATGCTTTTGGTTTTTGATCTGTTGCCCTGATCAAGAGAGTGGTCATTTCTCTCTCCACGTTACTTCTCATTCTTTCACCTGTCCCCTGTTGTTCCTCCCATTGGAAGTTTGAGCAGTCTGGGTGCTCTGTGCATGTCATGCCTCTTGATGATCCTTCTGCTTTGTCATTTGATGAACTGCTGCAACTTTTTACCACCACTGTTCTTGCTGCAGCATCAATTGCAATCCCTGAACCTAGAATAAATACTATCACAAATGTGTATTCAGGTGGTCTCCTAACTGGGCTTCTGCTGTGCATTTTAAATGTGTAGCATGGGGCCACTACAGGGAGTTCAGATAGTTGTATAGGGAGTTTCATTCTAACAGAACTACAGTCTGTTTCTTGGCTTTTGAAGCAACGAGAGCATTTGTCTGACACTTTATTTGGGTGGGGAAACGTGCGTGCTAGTGAGCTTGTGTGTCCACTGTCATAACCACCACTTCTATGTACATAGTCTAAAAAATGGTACTTAAGTTGATTGGCAAGTACTTCCCATATCCTGCTTTTGCTCTTACGTTTTTCTGGTGATAGCATTACAGATCCTCTTAGTTTCCACAGAGCTTGGCAGCCTTTGTGCTGTTGACACCACAAGCTCTAGTCTTAAAAGGCTTGCTAGGCATCCCTCTTCAAGGGGGGCTCCTTGTTGTGGTGAAGAGGCTCTTGGTCTGAGGAATTAGACTTGTCGGTCTCCTTCCTCAGACCGAACCTAATTACCCCCCAATCCCCCTTCCCTATCCCATCCTCCACTTTTTCCTTTCCTCCTCCTCTTCCCCACCCCTCCCTTTTGCCATTCCTTTTTGGCCTTTGGTATTTTTTTCCACAGGCACGCTAGTTCCTAGGTAGAGGAAAGGGTACCGGGGTCCATCCCATTCCGTTGAGGTTCTTGGTGGTGGCATAGTTTGCCGTGGAATCTGGATTGCCTGGGGATGTCCCGATCCCTCTCCGGTATCCCGGAGGGTGGCTTGGGGGGTGGCTTGGGGGGTGTCTCAGGCGACGGGTGTATCTCTGGAAGCCACCTTTCGGATTCCGGGGGTGGTGGCCGAAGGAGGTATGCTTTGTGGCGGATATCCGGTTGCCCTTTCTTTTGTCCACCGAGGTAGCTCGGCAGATGTGAAGTTGCTATCCCGGATTGCTGACATGATGGGTAGGGTACGGCACGGGTTCCATGCTGCATCTACGCTACTTGCGGTGCTGAGGTCCTCTTGGGCACGGAGGGAGATTTCTGGCCCTTTCATTCCTCCTAGGAACTATCCCTCCCCGGTCCCCCCTTTTTTTTATTCTTTTTTTTTATTTTTATTTTCTTCTTTTTTTTCTTAAAAACAAAAAGAAAGAAGTAACCTAGCCATGGAGAACCCAATCCATGAACCTGGTACCCCCGGGCCCCTTCTTGATACCACACCCCGTTCTGACCCCGCCTCGTCTTTGGACCACTCTTTGGACACTCCTCATGCCTCTGTACCTCTTGCCAGTGCTGTTTCCTCACCTGCTTCAGGTACTGAGGTCTCGACTGACTCCGATTTATCTGACCTCCGCTCTCCTTTGACTATGCTTCCGGCCTCTCCCTCTACGGTGCGACAATTTTCGAATCACCGGCCCGTTCCACATCGGACCAACTCTGGTCCCACGCCTAAACGCCAATGACAATTACCTGCTGATACTTCTCCACCTTCTCGTTCTTCTCAGAAAAGATCGACACGTCTTGCACTCCCTTTCCACGCTCAGTTTCAGAATGCACAATGGACTAAATTCTTCACTTTATGACTGACTTCCTCTACCGCCTATCTTTCCGACCACAGTATTGGCAAGGCACTCCTACACCATGTTGGTAAAGATATTTCTTTTCATGCTCTTAAGAGCGGTACGCGCATCATCACTGTACAGAATGCTACCCAAGCTCATGATCTTTCTCTTCTTTCCCATATACTGTAGATACTGTCCCCTCAAGGAAGGTTCCTTGATGTTGGTGAGGGGCTCTTGATTTAGGGAATTGGATCTGTGCTCCAGTTCCCCGAATTAAGCCTGAATGCCTTCCACATCCCCCCCCAGGCGCTGTATAATCCTCCGGGTTTAGCGCTTCCCCCTTGATTATAATAAATAATAATGTAGATACTGTTTCTGTCACTACTGAAAAACATCATTCCCTCAATTCTTGTAGTGGTACCGTCATTCTGCCCCATACCATAGTTCAACAAAATTTCCAGACATGTGGCAATGACATTCTTGAACAGCTGGAACTCCAAGATCTCCCAATCCTCAAGGTAGACACTTATGTTCTTCCTGCCCGCGGGCGGAGACGATACCCTAGCAATGTGGCTCGTTTAACTTTTGACAGTCGTGAACTCCCATCCTCAGTTTATGTAGCAGGACATCGGTTACAAGTTCGAAAGGTGATCCCTACACCGCAACAGTGTAGAAATTGCTGGCGATTTGGCCATCCAGCGAAATATTGCAGATCTATAGCCGAATGCCCAGTCTGTGGTGCCGATGACCATTCAAATACGTCTTGCAATCGACCTCCCTCTTGCCTTAATTGTCATGAGGCTCACCCTTCGTACTCTCGCCGTTGCCAAGTCTACTTAAATGAGCGGGAAATCCGTTACCTCAAAGAGGCAGAAGGTCTCCCTTATGCCATGGCAGTTTCTCATCTCCGCCTCCAAGGGAGACTACCTCGTGTTTCTTATTCCCGTGTTTCAAAACGTCCCCCCACTTCTGGGGTCCCATCTTCTGCAGCTTCCTCTGTGGTTACCTCTCCCATAGTCACGCCTGTATCTAATTCTTTTCCTGTCCTAGGCTCAGACGTCCCTACTTCAACGCCTCAGTTTGTTCTCGCTTCTTCGTGTTCTCCCTCACAAGCCTCAGTATCAGCGAAATCTCGTATGACACCTCCTTCCAATCGTCCCTCTACTTCTCAGAAGTCAAAAAAGGGTCCTTTAACCCCTCCTTCCCTTCTTCCACCTCCTCATTTTACCTTCCCTGTCTCTGTACCAGGTTCTTTCCCTCTCACTGGCTCTGTTACAAGTGTAGAGGTTCACCCTCCTCCTTGTACTATACCTACCTCCCCTGTTCCCTCCCAAGTTTCTTCCTCTTCTGCCACCTCCCAGGTTTCTGTCTCTTCTGTCCCCTTCCACGCTTCTTCTCCAGTTCCCTCCACCCTTTTGCCCCCCCCTACCTTGGTACAGTCCATTACAGTTCCAATCTTTACTCATCATCCCCCTACCATCTCCAATATTGTCTCCCATACGACGTCTCTGAATTTCGAAACACTTGAAGCAATCTCTGAATATATTGCAGAGACCAAACCATCAATGGACACAGATCCACCCTCTGTTCCTTCTCTCTCCTCTCCTCCATCTGCACAACTCCTTTCTCCACAGCGCACCGTTCCTTCGCTGCTTGAACGTTTTCCGCTGCCTCCGCATGTGGACTTTTCTAACCCCTCTAGTCAGCAGGAACCCTTACCTGCGGATTTCAGGTATCTTTATCATTGCCAATCATGGCCTATTTACAGTGGAATATACGCGGCCTCAGGGGTAATCAGGGTGAGCTTCAGATGTTACTCTCCCAGTTTTTCCCTGTTGGTGTTTGCTTACAGGAACCAAAATTACACTCTGCTGTTATCTCTCCCATCTCGGGCTATAATTTATTGTATTCTTCAGATCCTTTTCCTGATGGGACCTTTAATGAAAGTGCCCTTCTTCTACGCACTGATATTCCGTACCATCAGCTATTTGTTCGTACTTCGCTGCATTACACAGCAGCCCGTATCCACTTGCATAGGTGGT